CCGCCGGGCGCTGCGGCCGGGGTGGACCGTGCGGTCCGTGTCTGGGCGGCGGGCCGGGGCGCGAGATCCGGAGCCGACGGGGCGCTGCCTGCGCTTGTCCTCGTCCCTCCGGGTTGCGGCGGCGGCTCGGGGGCCTCGGCTTAGGACGCGCGGGACCGGTCTCCGCTCGGAGGCCGCATCCCCCTCCCCTCCTCCAGCCCGGCTCCCCTACCGCCCCGCGGGGAGAGCCCGAAGCGGGCAGGCGGGCAGCCGGCAGCTTCGGCTTCAGCTCCTGCACCCGAGCGGGCGGCGGGTTCCCATGGCAACCGCCGCGTCACCGCCGCTCGCCCCGCCCCCCGCCCGGCCTAGGGCACGCGGGACCACGAGGGTTGCGCACACCGGGTGGTTCAGGAGTGATGGGCACGCTCTTGCCCCGGGTGTGGGGCCTGACAACAGGTAGCATGTAGGTAGCGGGGTTGAGGCCCGGGACGGGCAGGGGTGGGGACGGGAGAGTGGAGGCACGGCACACGGAAATGGCGTTTGAGACTATTACCGACCGGCCTTTTTTGCCCATTCTCTCGTCGTTCCCCATTCCTAAGGCCAGACACTCGGTGCCTTCCCCTGGACCCCAGGCACGCCCTCGCGTCCCCTTTGGAAGTCCCCAGGGCTTCTCAGGCGCGCCCCGCCCCGCCCCCACGTTCCCGCCCCGGCCCCCGCCAGCGCGGCACGCGCGGGGATGCCAGCCGGGGAAGACATCCCCGCGCGGCCCTCGCCAAGATGGCGGCCCCGGGTCACGGCGGGGCGGAGGCGGCCCGAGCGGCCAGGCGTAGCGGACTCCAAAGGGCCCCTGGGGGAGGGGAGCGCAGGTAGATGCAGGGTGTTGGTGCCGCCCCTTCCCCAGGTGCGTGGGGCACTGAGGCCCTGAGGTTCTCGGTCCCCGTGAGACTAGGGTAGCCGAAATAAAGGGGGTGCCCGGACCAGCGACCTGGGGTGGTGGCAGGGCTATGGAACGTGGGCTGCAGCGTTCAGGAAGGGCACAGTGAGGGCAGTGCTGTTGGAACGTTGTCCACTGGTGATGGTGTGGAGGCCTCACTGTAACAGTCACGCAGGCAAATGCAGGGCATGTCTTATAGTCCCTTGATCGGGAGGGAAAGGTGCTGACCCAGATTTACTAGGGTAATGATTTTTTAAATGAATAATAATAAGCGTAGTGAAGGGAGGTGGAAAATTCTGCGCGCTTGTAACCACCTGAATTAACTCCCTAAGTGGGGGTGGATGGTGCTCTGCTTGGGGTGGTGGTTGTTTTTAAGAGTGAACAGCACTCTTGAAGAGGAAGGATGGAGACAATTCTTGAAGAGTGCTTTGTTCCTCTGGCCCCAGGATAACCAGGGCAAAGCC